ATGTAACTTAATTATTTTTATAATTTTATTAAAAAGTATTTATACATAATAGAATCCAATTCTATTCCAAATCCTACAAACCAAACACACCAATAATTTCAAATCCATTCCAATCCAAATCCCTCTATGGAATCCAAATCTCTCAAAAACAATCTTGCAAACAAAACAGACCCTTAGAGATGACTGTCATTTCAAACTCAAAAATCACACGAATTTAAATTATTTCCATCACAACTCTATCCTACCTCTTTCATAAAATTCGCCCAAATCTCTCATCGCCTCCAAACAAACAAATTAAATTTCATTACAATTTAGTAAACTGTAATATTTGAAATAATAATCACTAATCATGGTATCAAATCTACGGGAATAAAGGAACCGAAGACAAAATTTTAAAATTCACGTCTAACAATTTCATGATTTTGCATGACGGGCCTTTTCCTAAAAAACGTTCTTGATTCATAGCAAAACTTCGTTATCAAAGCTTCATTAAATGACATCATACGTGTTTATTTTGAAATTATGCATCTAACTTTTGTGTGGAGTAGACGTCTTGTTATTAAATATGACAACGAGATTGGTCTTATTAATAAGTATTTGTCTCACTATGCATGATGAATGACAAAGATAAGATAAATGAAAATGACGATGGAACATACATCGAGATTGCCTTTTTCAACAAAAAAAAAACACGATGCTTGTACTACATATATACATATATGTGTGCATGTCTGAACCGTTCGACTATTATAATGAATATTTGGTTCGATGAATATCTCAATTGTTTTCTAATATAAAACGTTTATCATAATAATTGAACTATTGTAATCTTCCATAGAAATACAAATCATAATAAATAAACACTCATTATTTATATAACTATTTCAGTTAATTGGTTTGCATACTTTGTACTGATGGTTGAATTTGTTATTTGTAAATGAAACCACCTCTCTTTATATGTAACCATCTATCTTTACCACTTCATATATATATATATATATATAGAGAGAGAGAGAGAGAGAGAGAGAGAGTTATGTTTGGAACCCGAAATATCGTCCACGACACAACATGCGAGTGAGAACGGGTTTTCTTGTAGATCATCTGAAAAGAAGAAAACAAGCTTGAAAGAAGCTCGTAATTCTGCATCAAAAATTGAGAAAACAGTCTCTTGAGTAACTTCTCCTGCGACCTGAGTCATGTGTCAGGTCGCGTGCGTGTCATGACGATTCATGCACTGATTGCTTTTAATTTTTAGTTGTATTTTCATGCACAAGTAAAAAAATTTAGTTGTATTTTTTGTTTCACAAACACATAGAAAAAGTTCACATTTTGAAATAAATGTATGTTAATCAATGCCCTAAATTAATTCGTAGATGAAAAAATCATGTGAAATAACACATGGTACAACAGTTTTTAAGGTTATCACAATTTATGAATCATTAAATAGGCGTTAGGTTCCGGTGAAAAAGATAAGAAGAGATCTTCATCCTTAGATCAATAAATTATAGAGGTAATGATATTTTTAAGATGTTAAGAAAGAAATGACTACGAGATTAAACGAATTAAGAAAAATAATTATTTTAATTAAAAATGATATGAAAGGTGGAATAATATTTTATAATTGAGTAAATATATATATTTTTTTAAGATTTAACATAAGATACAAAATACATCACATGCATGCAACAATGGAAATAGAATAGGCGGTTGCGGCAAATGGTGGTTAAGTGGTTGCATGTGGCTACAGTAGATTGGTGGGACCCACCAAATATTTATAACAGATTTCCCCTCCGCAACCCTCCAAAATACCTACCGCTTTCACTTCCCCAACAAACAATAAATAATTAAATAAAAACTAATTAAAATAGCCATTCATGTTAGGAGGTTATTTAACAGTTGTTGAATGGTTTTGTATTGAATGATTAAGTGGCCAGAATGATTAAGAAACTCTTATAATATAGTGCAAAAATTAAATATAATTGTTTGATGATTATTTAGAATGAAATTAGGGTGCTGAATGGTTAAGGGATGCCCAAGATACAAAATCAATCAGAGAGTTTTAGAACAATTAAAGAACATACATTTTTTTTTCAAACAAGATTCACCTCTTAAAGACTCAGATGATTCCCTTAATAAAACTATTATGAGGTAAACAAACAATCCATTAGTCATTTCTATCTCGATATTTCAAAAATGCTGTTATCTTCATAAGTAGCAACTTCTTAACTTATAAAGTTTCTGAACCAGGTCAACGAGTGTAGAGACCGAATCTGTAAATTAGTCCCGAGATTTCTGCAACATCTATCTAATTTACTTGGTCCTTACACTTGCGGATATTATTCAAAAGTTCTTCTTTTTTATATTTGACACCTTCACAAATTGAGAGGATGTCATTTGTGAAGGTAGTGATATTTTTGAAATTTAAAAAGATAAATTACTGAGAGATAAATATAAAATTGAAAATTATTATTCTATTTTAATTTAAAAAATTAAAATTTTACTATATCTAAATATTTTATAACCATTAGTTGGTGATAAATAAATTTAGAAATAAACCCTTTACACAAAATAAATTATGTGATGGAGAGAATAAGACTTGTTATATTGAAAATAAAAATACATTATTTTTGTCCAATCTATATTATATTATAAAGTATTTTATAAAAAAAATTAAAAATCATTTTTTATGTATAAAGTACTGTTTATTGATACATATTATTTAAAATTCAAGATCACAAGCAATTATATAAATATAACTTATTAAAGTTTTATTTTTTAATTTGAGTAACTAAGTATAGATAAAGATAATCAAATACGAGATACACATCTGATTTTGAATATAAACAATCTAAAATATAATCAGTATAATTATTAGTTTTAACAAAATACTTAATTAGTATCTTTATAAAAATTATCTCATTAAATGATAAATAAATTACTTCATTATTATATTTAAATTAAATTATAAATAAAATATTAAATTAAAAAAATTACAAAAAAAAAACCAAAACTTTATATTATTTTTTTCAAAATTTTATAGTATATTTAAATTTATATTTTATTCGAAAATAAAAACATTACCGTTTTTATCTAAAAAGCACTAAAAATCGTATTATACCGACATAGATAAATAATAAAATAAAACATTAAAATTGAGATATATCTCATTATATTATACAAACACTTTTTTTTGTATTAATTAAATGAAAAATAAAATATATTAAAACATGTAAAATGTTTTTCCATATAATATCAAAAAATCAAAACTAATGGTCCGAAAAGTCTTTATAATCTTTAATATTTTTTATTAGATTACGTGTTAAAAATATACATAAAAAAACGAACGAGAGCACGGGTTGCGCCCTGTTTGAATGGTGCCATAAAGTAAACCATGTCATATTGTAATTCATATTGTGGTCCAAATTATTAAATATGTAAATCAAATCCAACGCCTGTCTTATAACAAACAGGGGTGTTAAAAAACCTGACCAATTCAGATAAACTAAGCTAATCTGATGTATAATTGAGTTATAAAATTTCAAAATTATAGATTTTGTATTAAAATTGCATTATAGTTATAGTTCCTCAAAATGACATTGTATGCAACAATTTATCCGATGAACATTAGCCGGGTAAAAGTCATCACTTACTGGGTAAGAATATTGGACGCAACAATCTGTCTTCATGTTCTTGCACATAAGGGAAGAAATTTAAAGGTGAAGAGGAACAAGGGTTTTGATTTGAATAAGAAATAAGAGATATAAAGATAGCCATTTGGAAGAGGTGGTCGTTGTAGACGGGTCTTATTGAGATTGCATAACAAAAAACGCACCTGTTAGGGTTTAGGGACTTTTCTTGAATCTATTCTTTGAATACGTGTTTCTTGAATCAAACGGATTATTTTGATTTTAGGGTTTTAGGGACTTTTGATCTGAATCCGAATCGACTAGTCAAGGTTTAGGGACTTTTCTCACGAATCTATGTTAGGGTTTAGGGACCACTTTTCTGAATCCAATACTTGTTTCAAAATGTATATGTTTGATCGTTCTTGATGTTTCAAGTACAAGTACGCAAAACATACCTATCACAACACATGTTTTCTATGTTCTTCATGTTTCTACATCATTATAATCTATACTATATTATAAAGCATTTGATAAAACTCTTACAACTATTTTTTATACACAAAGTACTGTTTATTAATGCATACTACTTAAAATTCAAAATCACAAGTAAATTGTGCGTAAGTACAATTTATTAAAACTTCATTTTTGAATTTGTGTAACCAAGTATAGATAAACATAATCAAATACATGATAAACATCTATTTTTGAATATAAAAAATCTATGGTCTTCAAGGAGGTGCTAGTGTAATTTCGAATTTGTAGTGACAATTGGAAGAGTTTTATGTAAACCATAAGGACAATTACGTAATTTACTTATATTTTGGTACATAAGACGTAAAATTTTAAACATTTAAGTATACGGATAATCGGTTGAAGTATTAACCGGTTATCATGTTGATGTGACGAGTGATGTGGTATCCTATTAATGCTTCAACAAATAATAGTGAGTTGGATATCATATCACTCGCCACATCAGCATGGTAACCGGTTATCCAAGTTCTTAAATGTTTAAAACTTTACATCTTAAGTATCAAAATAAAAAAATTAAAAGTATCTTATCCAAAATAGAAATTAAATTAAAATACATTACTTTTTTCATGCAATTCACCCAAAATAAAAACATACAATTAGTTAGGTTAGTTATGAACGAATATAAATAAAACTTCAATTCAGACACAATTATTAATTTATTAATGATGAAATTTTCTATAGAAGTAGACTCCCCGCGACAATATTTTGAATATTTTCCAAGTGGGGTATCCCCCCCCTCCCTTTCATTTACCCTAAAAAGCCCTATTTATATGCTTCCCATTTCTACCTCTGTTCTGCATAACCATCTTCATTTTCATCCTCTCACCCACATTTAACATCAAATCCATGGCGATTTTGGGTTTCTTATTTGTGGGTTTTCTTTCAATTGCATCCTCAGTTCATGCCGACGGCGGTTGGGTTAACGCCCACGCCACCTTCTACGGCGGCGGTGACGCCTCCGGCACCATGGGTATTTCTTTTTCTTCTTTATCATCTTCAAATTGGGTTTTTTTTTTTAAAAAAAATCAATGAATTGAATGCGATTTTGGTGTTGATTGAACAGGTGGTGCTTGTGGTTATGGGAATTTATATAGTCAAGGTTATGGTACAAACACAGCAGCATTAAGTACTGCTCTGTTCAACAATGGTTTGAGTTGTGGTTCTTGTTTTGAAATTAAGTGTGTGAGTGACCATCAATGGTGTTTGCCGGGATCCATTACCGTCACCGCCACCAATTTCTGCCCGCCGAACGCCGCCTTACCCAACAACAATGGCGGATGGTGTAATCCTCCTCAACAACACTTCGATCTTTCTCAGCCTGTCTTCCAACACATTGCTCAATATAAAGCTGGGATCGTCCCTGTTGCTTACCGAAGGTGAGAAATTACCAAACTACCCCTACCCCATTCCTACATAACACAAGGGTATTATTGTAAATTCACTAACACATGTTTTTGTGTTGTTTTTTCTTAGGGTACCCTGCGTCCGAAGGGGTGGAATTAGGTTCCAAATTAACGGCCATTCCTACTTCAATTTGGTTTTGGTTACGAATGTGGGTGGCGCCGGCGATGTGCATTCTGTCGCCGTGAAAGGGTCGAAAACTGGGTGGCAACAAATGTCGAGAAACTGGGGGCAAAATTGGCAATCCAACACGTATCTCAACGGGCAGTCTCTGTCTTTCAAGGTCACCACCAGTGATGGCAAAACTGTGGTGTCGAACAACGTTGCCCCGGCTGGTTGGTCTTTTGGACAGACCTTTTCGGGTGCCCAATTCCGTTGAAAAGACGTTTTTACCCTCGACACGGTTTTAGCCTATTAGAGTTAGTGGTCACCTAGTATTACTATTGTAACCTTTTTATCAAACTACAATAGGTACTACAATGACTAGGGGATCGTATTTTGAAAGGGTCCTTTTGGTCATTTTGCTTTTTTTAGGGTACCCTATATTTATCAAGGGTTTTGCAGTGGTGGACTGTTACCACCCGCCTAGTAGTAGTAATTGACGGTTTTGCCCTTGGTTGGGCCATTTGAATTGGCTTGTTGGTGAGTTGCCTTTTTGGGAATGCTTTTATATTTACGAGGGTTTGAGTTGTAAATTTACGCTTTTTACTAGTAATGGAATTGGAAAGGTGACTACCTTAAGTTTAAGATGTGTCCTTATTATTTCAACTGATAATAAAGTTTGGTTCTTTCAACCATAAGGGTGGTGCCTGATTGGTTTGAGTTTGCCTTCAAAAGTCAAAAGTACCAGAAGTTTCATGTTCAAATCCAATGAGAAATAAAAATCTCTTGTGGCCACGACGGTTCAAATACGGTGACTCCAAACTATCTGTAAAGCAGATGGTCGTCCTGAGACTCGCATAGCGGGTTGGATATCCAGGTTAATAAAAAAAGCTTGGTTCTTTCGGGGTTTTTTTTCATAGGTTATTGGTTCGAGTCCCGCAATATGGATATCGTTCACGACTTTTAGGATTAGTTGAGATACATACAAGTTGACCAGAACACTTACTGTAAAAAAAATATCGAAATTAAAACTACAATTGACAATTTTTATTTGTAATTTTACAGTGAACTCCAGTTTTGGTTTGTGGTTTATCGAAATTAACACTTTTGTAGCTACAGCTTCAAAATTACAAGATTACTTTTGTGGTTTGCAAAAATGTCTGAATATAGTCCTCTCCACTAACAGCGTTAAAACATTACGTTGAACAAAGGGTATTTTTGTCATTTATTAATACTTTGGTCCTTCACTCGATCAAATAACCATAGGAACCAAAATGTAAAGTAGATTTTGGTTGAGTAAAACACAAAAAATAGATAAAACAATGAAAATATTCTTCATTTAATTGAATTTTTCAACAATCGTTAGAGAGAGAATTAAATGCGGACGTTTTGCAAACTATGATGACATCTTGTAATTTCAAAACTATAAAGATGAAAAAACGTTAATTTTAGCAAACCACAAGGACCAAATTTATAATTTACACTAAATTTTATAAGCTGCCTTGCAATTTCAATTCATACACAAAAATATATATATATATATATATATATATATATATATTAAAGAAGAAACCAAAGGTAATGAGGTGTCACCTTCTAATGCTTAGAACCCCTCCTATCTTTTTTCTCATTTTTTTTTATTTTTTTAAATGTTGAATATGTTAAAGACTTTTTTGCCCCTTGATGAAAAATGTATAACTCATAATTAACCCGGGTTATTTTTGTAATTTTGTATACCCAAGTTTAACCTCCAACTCTTGATTTGCTCTTCCGTTTACTTTCTTTTATTTCTTAATGAAATTTATTTTTTAAAGTTTCAATAATAAACAAAATGAAATCATATAAAATCCTTTGGTGAGGGATGAAGAAGATGAGAGTTGAAGAAAAATTCAAAGATTTTAAAAGGTATGTAGAAATTATATTCATTAAAAAATGTGATTTGTTATTACATGTTTCTTTTTCAATATTGTTGGATGTGTTGTTATCATAGGATATGATTGTGTTTACGATTGGATTATATAAATTGTGTTTACGATTTGATCATATAAATTCGAATAAAATTTTGATATTTTATAATCACAGGATATGATAAATTTTTTTCGAATTTAAGCTTCATTAACAACAACTATTTATTCATATTCATCTCTCACACCCTCTCAAATTCTATCTTTATCTTATACATCTCTAAATTTATGTTCTTTCTCTTTGGTTTTTCTTCTATTTTACTATTGATAATCTTCATAGTTTTTTTTCACTTCTCCCATAATTTTATGTATGTTTGTATCGTTATTTAAATTGCATTATATGTCATTAAGATTTGAAGAAGTTTCAAGTTCTTTGGTTTTTTTTCTATTTCATTATTGATAATATTCATAGTTTTTTTTGTTTTTTCACTTTTCCCACAATTTTATGTATGTTTGTTTCGTTATTTAGATTGCATTATAGTTTTTATGCATTATGTCATGAAGATTTGAAGAAGTATTCAAGTTCAATATTTGATCTTTTTGTTGCAAAGGTAATAATTATATATTGATTTGTTTCATGATTTTGGTTGCATTATAATTTTATTTATGTTTGTATCATGATTTTTGTTTCATTATAATTTTATTTATGTTTGTATCATGATTTTTGTTTGCATTATAACTCTTATGTATTGTTATATATATATATATATATATATATATATATATATATATATATTGAAGAATAAACCATGAGTGTTTGAAGTGGCCTCTCCAAAGCCTAGAACCTCATTTTTCTTTTTTCTCCTTCATTATCTCAATATCCACTATTATATTTTTTTTTTTGTCAATTTATGTTTTTTTGTTAAATGTTTGCATTCAACTCCAAACCATTTATCTCCTTCTATATTAATTCAAATGACATAACTCCAAATCTTCATCTTTTACCATCAATCATTTATTTATATACATATAAACAACAACTATTTATTCATCTTCAGCTCTCACACCCTCTCAAATTCTATCTCTATTTTATACATCTCTAAATTTATTTTCTTTCTCTTTGGTTTTTCTTCTATTTTACTATTGATAATCTTCATAGTTTTTTTTTTCACTTCTCCCATAAGTTTATGTATGTTTGTATCGTTATGTTATTTAGGTTGCATTATAGTTTTTATGCATTATGTCGAAGATTTAAAAAGAAGTCTTCAAGTTCAATATTTGATTTTTTGGTTGCAATATAAGGTAAAATATTTATACTGATTTGTTTCATTATTTTGATTGCATTATAATTTTATTTATGTTTGTATCGTGATTTKTGTTTGCATTATAACTCTTATGTATTAGGTAAAGATTTAAAATGTTCAAGTTCACCATGTAATTTTTACTTATGCATGTTGAACGTTTTTTGGTTTGCAAGTTTTCGAGTTCTTTAACGTTTATATATCAAGTCATGAAAATTTGAACTTTTTAAGTTTGGGTTGTGGGAATTTTTGATTATGATCTAAGGTAAGGATTTTATGCAAGTTTGTTTTGTAATTTAAAGTGTATTAGAATGTTATGTATGTTTGTATCATGATTTKGATTGGATTATATTTTTAAGTATGTTCTTATCGTAAGTTTAGTCRTATKMTAATTTTATGTATGTTCATGTTATGATTTTGATTGCATTATAATTTTATCTATTGGGTTATAAAGATTTGAAGTCTTTAAGTTTGGTATGTGATTTTTTACATATCGTATGGTTGGTCCGGTTCATTCACTATTGTGTTTTTAAAGTCAAGGTACGTGTTGAAGATGAAAAATAGTACATGTACATCATCTTTTGAATGAGACATATCTTTATGTGGAGTATTTTTTATTCTTAAATTTGAGTCAGATTCCTTAATATTTCCGTCGTTATTATTACTCATTTTATTTAGTTTTACAATTTTATTACTAAACAAATCTCTCTCTCAATATATATATATATATATATATGTGTGTGTGTGTGTGTGTATATTAAAATTTCACTAACTATATTTTATTTAACTTTTTCGAATTATTTGAATATGATTTGTTGATGATTCTATTAATAATTAATATATATTTATATAGACAATCATCATATCATTAATCAAAGTACTCATACTACCGCGCAACGCGCGGTTCCCATACTAGTTTAAGTTAAAAATTACCATGAGCCCCCTTTGCTAAGATTTGAAATTGGATGAATATAACTCATTCATTTACACGTAAAAGCAGTATTTAAAAGAAGTAAAAAAGCGTCAATTGACAAAGATACTCGGATAAAAAAAGTATTTTCACCTTTTATTCAAAATTTAAACTTGTTATAGATCTATATTATATTATAAAGCATTTGACAAAAACTTTTAAAAACTATTTTTATGCGTAAAATACTGTTTATTAATGCATATTATTTAAAACTCAAGATTGTAAGTAGATTATTAAATACAAGATAAACATCTCATTTTAAATATAAAAAATCTAAAATATAATTAGGATAATCATTGTAGTTAATTATTATATTTATAAAATATTATATTATTAAACCAAAAATAAATTATTTCATTATTAAACTTAAATAAAATTATAATAAAAAAAATTAAAAAACTTTTAAATAGTTGATTTGATTTTAACATTTAAATTTGAGGATTTTTTTTTCCTTTATATTGAATTTATATGCAAGTCATGTGAAAACCAATTGCTTGTTATAAATCAAACTCTGCTACAACAGTATTTTCATCATTCTACATTAGTTTTCTCTTTTTTTATAAACCAATCTATGGTTTAAATAAATTTTTTTAGATGCATGTTTCAGGCTATGTCTGAATTAATCCCAACATATTATAACTATAAAAGTCAATCATGATAAACTCAGTAACCATAATTACTATGTCTGTCTAAAATACCATTATAAACCTTAATAAATAAGTAATAAAAAAATGGTGCATAGAATTTGGTGAAAAGGGTCAACAATTTCTGGTTATGGTGTGAAATAGCGAAGAGAAGTTGGGGAACGTGAAATGTTTCAATCCCAGAAATAAGAAGAATCTTTGACCCAAAATTCCATTTCCCAACCACTTATTTTCAAGCAGCTTTTGTCTTCTCAATTTTATTTGGATTTCATATATAATTTTTTTTAAACTATATGTTTTATTCTTAACTAGAAGCGTACTCGTGCAATACAGCGAGATAAATCGTGATTTTAATATTTCATTTTATTTTTTTATCTCAGTCGATGTTATAATATGGCTTTATATGATTTTGAGAAAACGATGATGTTTTTATTTTTGATAACTTAATAGTATTTTTGAAAATTCAACAAATTTTATTCTTGTAGTCGTATTTTTTTTCCCTGATTAACTTGAATATCAAATTCGTTATGCGAGCTAACTAATTCTAGAACGGCCACTTGATTTACAGATAACTCGAAGTTATCGTATTTGAATCTACATGATTACAAGAGGATTTTTTTTTTCTTTGCATTTGAACCTGAAGTCTCCAGACAAATTATTTAATTATGGATCAAACTCATTAAAAAATTGTAACAACAGAGACCCGACTCATTAAAAATTGCAACCACGATTACATGAATGTTGGGGAAAAAAAGGAATAAAACCCATTAAAAACACTTAAATCACAAACAAAACATGTAATTTACTCTAGCTTTTATTAACAGTC